CAGGATACCCATCCACTTCTACCCCCTCCCTTCACATCTATCTTCCTTTCACCAGCCCTCCATCTAATAACTTATATATGAAGCTTCAGAGACACTGATCCCAACATAAGGAACTACCAAGGCAGTTTTACTAGTCTTTGAATAATTAATGTATCCTTTTTTGATTCACTTTTAATATAGAAAAGGAGAAGTCATTGGAAGAATTGGCTTATGTTTAAATGCTTGTTTGTTTATATGTTATGTTTTAAATGCTTTATGTTTATTTTTGTTATGAACTGTCAAATTGGAACCAACCCATAGCTGACCTTTAGTGGGTCTACAGAGTCTGTTAATCATTTGAGAGATCACCCTTCTTTCTCCAACGGAGCAACTGCTGGATTCAAACTTTGTGCAGCATAGCTACTTACCAATAGGCCAGCAGAACTCCCTTCTTTAGTCTTTACAAAGGTAAAATTTAACTGTCTGCATGTTTAGATGAACAAATCTGAACACACATCACGTATCTCATTGAATTAAGTTGACAGTTGTGTAGCTTTCAGAATTCTTTGCCCAAAGTACTCACTTTTGCTTTTGTCAGGCCGCTAGTTCTGGGTCTCATTGGACAGAGTGAAGGCAAAGTGCAATCAGTGTAAAAAGTTTACAGATTTATCAGAAAGCCTTGAAAATGAAACAAAATCATATTCTTAGAGAGTAATTGATTTTAAATTCTATCTCTCAATTTTTGTTTTTATTTATAAAATTATTACAGGGTACAGGAGACATTGATTGCCATTTTAAAATTAAGAAGAACTTGGAAAATGCATCCATAAGCTTGGAATCTACAAAGAGCCCAGGATTGTTTGTTGGACTTCAGTCTGATGGACATGTGAAACCACTTATTTATACCAATGATGGGAGTGCTTACTTCTATCCACGAGTCATCCAATGTATGTTTACACAGAAAAACTTCAGTTTCAATTTACTTTATATTGGCATGTATGTATTGTTTACCTTAGTCTTATGCTTACCAAGCAAATCTCTGCTGATGGATTTTTTTCATTGTTGTTCTGTTGTTGTTCTTGTTATGTACCATTGAGTCGCCTGCGACTCATAGCAGCCCTATGCACAACAGCCCTAAACTCTGCTCTATTCTTTGCCAATCGCACTGTCTCTGACATCCCCATCCCTGAATTATCCACCTCATAGAGGGCCTGTTTGCGACTCATAGCGACCCTATGTACAAGAGCCCTAAATGCCGTTCTATCCTGTGCCAACCTCGCAGTCTCAAACACATTCATTCCCACCACTCCACTCACAGAATCGATCCATCTCATTGAGGGTCTTCCTCTCCTGCTCTGTCCCTCCATTCTCCCAAATATGATGTCCCTCTCCCAGGAACAGCCCCCCCTTGCAACCTTCCAAAGTATGTCAGACGAAGCTTCAGAATCCTTGACTCCAGGGAGCATTCTGGCTTCACCCTCTCCAGGACAAACCTGTTTGTTTTCCTACCAGTCCAAGGTATATTCAACACTCTTCTCCAGCACCACAGCTCAAAGGCATCGATTCTCTTTCTATCATCCCTATTCACTGTCCAACTCTCCAATGCATAGCACGTAATTTCAAAGACTATATCCTGGATCAGGTGCACCTTAGTCTCTAGCCTGATGTCGTTGGAGAAAAGAATGTATTAATGACCATCAGTTACTGTTGAGTTGATTGTGACTCATAGCAGCTTAGAACTGTGCTTTAAAGTGTTTTCAATGACTGATGGGATTTTTGGCAAGTAAATCACCAGGTCTTTTTTCTGAGGCATCTCTGATTGGGCTCAAATCTCTAACGTTTCATTCAGCAGCCAAGTGCTTAATTGTTTGCATTACTTGAGAACTGTTAAAATTATAAAATAATTAATTAAGCATTAAAATTCTTTTACATTGGATTCCTTTAGTTTCTTTAAACTTTTTTCTCTGTGTATGTCGTATGAGAATCTTTTAAAAGAGTCATTTGCAGGTAAACTGAAAGAAAATGAAAATATTGCAAATGCCTTAAGCATCATTACTTTTAATTTCAAATGCTCATGATACAAAGAAATGGTAAAATTAATCAATAAGAATGGTATTTTGATTAAAATTTTGGAAAATAATTTGCAAGATATTTAATTTGGAATATTTCAAAGTTGTTTTATCTTCTAAATTCAAGTTTTATAGAAAATTGAAGTGATTATGTAAATTTATTTTAAAAACCTTAGAATTTACTTGTTTGGACTCAGATGTATATGTGGAAATTTTATTTATTTTAAATGATTTCTAGTAGCTTAATTAATACTTTCCAGAGTACAAAATTGACACCCACTGCCATCAAGTAGACTCACATTCATAACAACCCTCCATCTGGCTCCTCAGGCTGTATATCTTCTTTTTTTCTCTTTATTTTATACAGGCTTATTCACAAAATTCAAATACATTGGTTTTCACACCTGATCTTTCCCACTTTCTTCACCCACCAATCAAATTGTATGACCCTATGATTAACTCCTCTCACCCTCCCTGCCCATCCTCACCCCTCTGCTTCCACCCTCTGCCTTCCCTCAGATTGTCATAGTCCTTACTCATTCTACAATAATGGTCTTACACAAAATTTGTCTTTATGTATAGTTCACAAAGAATAATACTCTCTAGCATTACTGAATTGGATTGAATTGAATCCATTCAATTGTACTTGGACATTTGGGCTGTCTCCATGTTCTTGTGATGGTGCCATGAATATTGGTGTGCAAGTCTCCATTTGTGCTTCAGTTCTCATTCTTTCAGGGTATATTTCAAACAGTGGAATATCTGGGTCATATGGAATTTCTATGTTCATATTTTTTGAGGAAGTTCCAAGATGTCTTCTAGACTGATTGTACCATTTTACAATCCCACCAACAATGTATAAGAGTTCCTGATTTGCCACATCCTCTCCAATATTTATTACTTGCCGTCCTGTTAAATTTTGCCACTGCTGCTGGGGTGAGATTGTATCCCATTACGGTTTTGATTTACATCTCTCTTATTGCCAGTGATTCTGAGAATTTCTTCATGTGTTTGTTGGCCTTCTGAATATCTTCCTCTGTCTTTCCATGTATTTTGTCCATTTTGTAATTGTTTTATCAGTCTTATTCTTGTGGAAGCCCTAAAGAATTCTGTAAACTTTTGCTATGAGACCCTTGTCTGAGATGGTATTGCCAAATATTTTTTGCAATCAGTAGGTTTTCTTTTCACTCTGTTGAAAAATATTTTTGATGCACACAGAGGTTTAATCTTTAGCAGGTCCCATTCACTAATTCGATCCTCTCCATAATGTGGATCTCTGGCTGTATTTGGCAGTCTCTTTATACCATAGACTAGCATTCTAAGCTTGACCCCAGTTTGTCTCTTATGAACTTTATCGTTTTGGGCTTTATTCCGAGGTCTCTGATCAACCCTGAGTTGTTTTTTTGTGGATGGTGTAGGATATGGACACTGTTTCAGTTTTCTGCAGTTAGCAGTCTAGTTTTGCCAGCATCATTTGTTGAAGAAGTTGTCATTTCCTCATTTGATAAGTTTTATTTCCTTGTCAAATATCAGTTAGCCATAGAGAGATGGATCCATTTCTGGGTTCTCATTTGTTTTCCACTGGTTTATATGCCTGTCATTGTACCAGTACCACACAGTTTTGTTTACTACTGCTCTGTAGTAGGTTTTGAGGTCAGGGAGTACTGTGTCTTCCACTTCATTATTTCTTTCTCAGAAAGTTTTGCTTATTCAGGGTCTCTTGCTTCTCCAAATAAACTTGACAATTTCCCTTTTGCTTTCCTTGAAAAATGTATTTGGTGTCTATATTAAGATTGTGATGAACATGTAGATTGATTTTTATAGGATTGCCATTTTCACAATATTGAGTCTTCCTATCTATGAACAGGGAACATCTTCCCATTTCTGTAGGGTTTTGATAATGTCTTGCGGAAACGTTCTGTATGTTTTGTTTTGTTTTTTTTATATAGGTCTTTTTTTTTTTATAGGTCTTTTGTATCTCTAGTTTGGTTCACTCCCCAGTGTCTCAATTTATGGCTGACTATTATAAATGGTATTAATTTTTTTGTTTATTTCTCTGAGTTTTCTTTTTTACTGTGGAGGAATCACACTGATTTTTTGATATTAATCTATATAACCTGCCACTCTACTAAATTTGCCTAGTAGCTCTACAGTTTCTTTTGTTGTTGGGGATTTCTATGTACACTATCATATCATCTGCGCATAGCAATAGTATAACCATCCCTTTGCTGATCTGAATGCCTTTTATTTCCTTCTTTCGTCGAATTGTTCTAGCAAGCACTTCCAGTACAATATTGAATAGAAGTAGTGACAATGGGCATCCTTGTCTGGTTCCTGTTCACAAGGCTGTAAATCTTCGTGGGAGATAACTGCCCACCTTTCTTCCATAGTGTGGCTAATACATTTGCTAAGCTTTTGGTTAATAGCCTCATTTATTGCATCTTGCACTACAAGGAGGCCTTTTTATGTAAATGAGAATTGTCAAAAATGACAAAATGTGTGAAAATTTATACTCTAGGCATTGTTGTTATGTACCATTGAGTCAGAACTGACTCATAACTGATCCTCCAATGGGTTTTTCAGAGTTAGTGTAATCTCACAGTAACAGACTGCCCATCCTTCTCTTACAGAGCATCTGGTGAATTTGAACCACTGCCATCAATTTGGCAGCATAGCTCCTTGAAACTAGGCCAGAACTCCCATTCTGGGCTTTAGTGGGCTGAAATGAACTTAAACCAAATTGATTTATACCATCAGAGGGTACTGTGCTAAGCATGACAGATCAAAAAGGAATAACAATGCATTTATCATAGAAAAGAATACTTCTGAGTCTATCCTGAAGTATGATTCTGTAAGTGATAAGATAATATCCATGGACATAGACCTGCTAATATGACTATTATTCAAATTTATACACCAATATGAAAACTCAAAGATAAAGAAATTGGTAATTTCTAAAAAAATTATGAAGTTATCTGAAAGTAATCACATATGCCATCAAATTTCATTGGTAATTACTGATAATTGGAATGCAGAAATTATATAATTGGGAACAAAGTAGAAGGATCAGCATTTGGAAAATATGAATATACAATAGAAGATCACATTGTAGAATTTTGATGATATAGCTATATTGATACCTCTTACCATTCCATATAAGGTTGAAGGTCCAGCTTTACACTTTAGTAATAATACCAAATTATGGGACTTTGGCTGTTGAAAATTTGACCAAGATTATATTGAATTAGTAGACTGCTTTGGACAGTATTAATATATTTTTTTACAATATTAAATATTCCATTCCATGATCATGGGATATTTTTCCATTTAAATAAATCTACTTTAGTGTTTGAAAGCAGTGTTTTATAGTTTCCATTGTATAAGTCCTTTACTTTCCTAGTTAAGTTTATTACCATATATCTTATTCTTTTAGAGGATAATGCAAATGCTATGGTCTTCTTGATTTCTTTTTCATGTTTCTCTTTTATGGTGTATAAGAACCCAACTTATTTTTGTGTGTTAAACTTATACTATGAAATTTTGCTGAGTTCTTTTATTAGTTCTAGCAGCTTTCTTATGGATTCGTTGGCATTTTCTGTATATGGTATCAAGTAATATGCAAAGAGATAGTTGTACATCATTCTTTTCAATTTGGATATCTCTTACTTTTTCTTTTTCTTCCTTATTGCCCCCAAAATTTCAGTATTCTATAAAACTGGTGAGAATAAACATTCTTATCTCATTCCATTTTTAATGGGGAGGCTTTTTCTTAGGTGCTTTTTCTTTCTTTTTTTCTTTTCTTTTTCTTACAATGCCTTTGTATTGTGTGTTTTTAAAAAAGATGTCTTTGAAGCTGTCAATGATTTCATCTTGCTGAG